CATAGTAACGTACCTTTAGATAAGATTCTTATGAGTGATTATAGGTACCAGACGCCGATTGGCTAAGACGTATCACGTGACTAAATGTGACGTCATAATGTGGGAGTCGTCTGCTACTAACGGCCGCGTTCTAGAATGTTCACGGTCTATTCTTATTCACGTGATCTGTGAAACGGGTAAAAGATTGAATTTTCTGGAAAAAGATTCATTCTGCGTGAGGAAACAGAGAACAATGGAACAGCTTTATTCGTTAACTATTGGCAGGAGATCACGAAGTAGACTTTTTAGTCTTTCCGTAGTTTTAATAGTTTTTATTATAACTCATCTACTCCACTTAGAGTCTAAAAATTTCCTTTTTATTTCCCTAACCTAACCTTTCACTTGGATGATTTTACATTTGAAATAAACTTTGCAGTTCTAATGTTCGTATTGTAATCATAGTGTCAGGTAGGTAATAACAGAGAGCACACAACTCACAGATATAACCTCTGCATGATAATGATTTAATTGTTGTCTGTAGTCTTGAAAAACATAGTAACGTACCTTTAGTTCAGATTGTTATGAGAGTATTTTATTCTCTTTTCAGAATATCATTTTCTATATTATTGTAAGTAGTAAGCGAGTGATTATAGGTACCAGACGCTGATTGGCTGAGACGTACCACGTGACTAAATATGACGTAGTTGTAGGGGCATGTCTTCAGGGACTTTAGTTGCTAAGGAGATGACGTCATTGGGAAAACCCCGGGGAAATCCTTGATGACGTCACTTTGTCGTCATTTTGGGAAAGTAGTAGTAAGCGAGTGTTTATAGGTACCTGGACCCCGTTTCTCAAAAATTCGTTGATTAACGTAAACATTAAAATTTAACGATTTGATAACGTAAAAAATAACGTTTTCGTTAAAGTGTTTCTCAAAAGCACTCGTTAACTTAACATGTTAACTTTCAAACGTTATTTAACGCTTGACTTTTACGTGTGATTAGCCCTAGATACATTTTCTCCTGGTTGGCCCTTCAGGACCCCGTTTCTCAAAAATTCGTTGATTAACGTAAACATTAAAATCTAACGATTTGATAACGTAAAAAATAACGTTTTCGTTAAAGTGTTTCTCAAAAGCACTCGTTAACTTAACTTTCAAACGTTATTTAACGCTTGACTTTTACGTGTGATTAGCCCTAGATACATTTTCTTCCGGTTGGCCATTCACATGCGCAACGCGAACTTGACCTCAACATGGCTGAACATGGATAAACAAATCTAAAGAAATAGTCGTCTGCAATCTTTCGCGGTAAGTTTTTATCAATTAAGTTTCTTGACTGATGGCAATGGAGGATAAAAAAACAAGGAAACCTAAATGGGGAGACAGGGAAATGACAATCTTTTGTCAATCAGTGGCTGATAATTACCGGATAATAAAAGGAAAGTTTTCGCCGTCCCTGACTCGTGAAAAAAAAAATGGCAGTATGGCGTGAAATTTCTAAAAAGTAAGTAGGCCTATGTAAACATTTCTCAATGCACCACTGATAAGGCTATGAGGATTGAAATTTTTTCATTTGAAATAAACACTCTTTATTTTAGAGTAAACGCAGTAACTGTGTTCAAACCCTGGAGAAAGTGAAAAAAAGGTGGCAGGATGCCCAAACCGCTGTCAAAAAAAAGAGAGTGACAGGAAGAAAGAGATGAATGGTACTGGTGGTGGTTCTGAGCCAGATATTTACTTCCGTAAATGGGAGCTGATAGTAAGTATGGATTGCAGTTTAAAATAAATGCTACACATGGTAGATACGCTACCAGATTTCATTGCAATTTCTTTCTACATATTCTTGCAATTGGTACTTCCACAGTTTAACTGGCTTGACTTACTATAAAAAGGAATAATTTGAGTACAATACATTATTTCAGTAATAAAATAAAAAAGATTTATTGTGACATTACTGCATTGGCATACTTTCTTCTTGAAATAATAAGTTTTTTCATTATAGGTTCTTGATACTCTATCGCCTGCTGCTATTGTAGGGATAGAGGGAGCTGTAGATACAAGTTGCCGCCAACCCATGTTGAGTTTGGCTCCACCAAAAAATGGTAACTATTTCTGTTCTTTTTACCAGCGTTTATCAAATATATTTAGAAATAAGAATCTACTTTTCCTGGATCCGTATATTCAAAGATCTCTATAAGAATGAAAGTTTATGCTGTGGCTCTTATATTGTATCCATTTTCAATTCTCTCATTTTAAGTTTTGTTTGATTTCAAGCGGTCCTTAATATTCTCCCCTCCTTGAATTTTATTCTGACCTTGTAAATTTTGGTCTCAATAGTTTTATTGGAGTGAAAACGCAACTGATCATTTGACTACTACACACCTATATGCTTATAACACTTACCTTTAATTCTTTATTTATATTAAAATATTTCTATCAATACAAACTTTATTTTTTTTATTTGCCACAAATTGTAGATTGTGAGATTTCTGTGTAGTTCTTGTACTTTTGAAGACTTTTTACATATTGGTATATTCAAGACACCAAAAATGCGGACTGTTCCCCCTTAACCTTCCCCTTAACTATTTTTCTTTTTATAATTCAGATGCAACATATTTTATGCCTGAAGAAGGTGAAATAACCATTGAAGGTGAGTGTACTAACACCTCAAATGGTTCTTCTCTTGGAGAAGTCCACTACCATAATACTGTTACTCTTGATTTTGCTATGCTTTGGAATTGGTATTATTTAAATATGGATTGTATTCCAAAGTTTTGAAATCCAGACTGAATCCATTTCACATTTGAAAATGTAATATCTGGTAGTGAGAAGTAAAATTTACATACCGGTATGAATTTTTTAATTATAGAAAAGGCTGTCAATGTGTTACCAGAAGGAGAGGTAGAGAAAGATAGTCCATCACCAGAACAGTTTCAGGGTAAGTAAATATGATTTTTTTTTTGTCCAATTATCTTCATCATATTAAAAAAGAACAGAGCTAAAAATGATTTTAGCAAGTTTGATTGGTCCATCACTAAATTGCTGTTAAATTAAGTATTATTATAATGATAAGTTAACCTAGAGGCTAGGAAGAAACAATATGCTAAAACAGACAAATCTAGTCTAATTCCTTGTAGTGCACATTGCTCAGTAAGACACAACCATGAAGGTATGGTTTCTTTTTAGAAATTTCTAAACCAAAGAGGAAGAGTTTAGGTGAGTGTTTTCCATATTAAATGAATACTTTGTAACATCTTAATATTCACAATGAACCCTGACACAATAAATAGTATACAGTTTTGACCCAGGGTTGGGTGATTTAAATCCAAA